CACCATTTATTAATATGATGAAGGCAAGAAGGTTCTTCTTTGGGAAGGAAGAATCGAAGTTCTGGTTGGGAAATGATAATTTCAAATACCTGTGTGATATCAAAGTGGAAATATTAAGTATAGTTGACCCTGAGCAACTTGGGTGCTGCTGGGTGTGTGCAGTTTTTAGCTAGCCCTCTGTATCTGCAGATTCCATATCTGTAGGTTCAATCTAAGGCCTACTGATGGTTGGGTCCATGAATGCAGAACCCACGGACAGAAAAGAATCCCCAAATAAGTAGGCCCAAACCTGTCAATTGTAGATGGTGGGTCAATTGTAGATGGTGGATGTATGAATTTAAGGTTCAGACAAGAAGAATGGAGTGTGGATATAGGTTTAGCCACAACTAACATAGAGATGATATCTAAAACCATAGGTTAATATGAGATGAAATTACCTGAGGGAGTGTCTCCAGTGGAAAAAGAAGAGAATCTAGCATGAGGCCCTGTAGAACTCCAAGACTTGTAGAATTGATATCATTATTTTTTAAGGCAAACTTTAGAAAAGGAAGCGTTCTTCAAGCCAACCACCACCCCACTCCATACAGCTGTATATTGTTTTGTTGAATGAAGTTAACAAGCAGCCCTAAAATTTCACCTTCATTGTCATCTACAAAGAGAAAGTAAGAAAGAAAAAAGAAAGAAAAAAGAAAGAAAGAAAGAAAGAAAGAAAGAAAGAAAGAAAGAAAGAAAGAAAAGAAAGAAAGAAAGAAAGAAAGAAAGAAAGAAAGAAAGAAAGAAAGAAAGAAAGAAAGAAAGAAAGAAAGAAAGAAAGAAAGAAAGAAAGAAAGAAAAAAAAGAAAGGAAGGAAGGAAGGAAGGAGGAAAGACAGGAGGAAAGAAAGGAGGAAGGAAGGAAAAAGGGCTGAGTGAGGGTTTGTGTATGTGTGTGTAAGGGGTGGGGGGTGAGGGGCTTGGTGGGGGGAACAGATATATGTGACTTTAAAGTAAAAACACTCATTTTCAAATATAGCTCATAAACTGACTCTGCAGGCAATTTTGAAAACATATCTGTGTAGCAGGATATGTTGTTAGGCATTTGGACTATAACAAGTCTTTTGTGTGAGTGAGCTATTCCTCCATTATTTCTTGATTATATATTTGGCAATAGGGAAGTGCACTAATTCTGTAATGGCTACCAGAGAATACTTTTTCGTGTCACCTCCAGGGTAAACAGAATGTGGTCAACAATATCTCTGTTTAGAGCACAATTTGAGCAAAGGGGCTAAAAGTTTGACATTTGTTTTTTCAATTTTTATTTTTCTGTACTTAGTCACACTATTCACTAAATCAGTAGAGTACCTATCACTGTGGCAAACGTTTCTGAAATAGTTGACTGTATATAAGTGTATGCAGGTGTCTTAAGTACAGTGCCACCTGAGAGAAGTTTTTACGTGGGTGTAAATGAATTTGTGAGTTATAGCCTATATGATCTGTTGGGCTAAGAGTCAAACCATATATTCTGATTAGGACTTATACAGAATGACAAATATAAGTTGTACTTTCAGCAAACAAATTTACCAGATTTTGTCATTCAGATTTTGTCATTGCACTTCAAAGAACTTAATACATAAAATTTTAAATTTTCTGTTAAAAATATATTGATCATTTTGTTAGGGACCAATACAACTAAAAGGTTATGAATCTTCACAGTTCTTGGTCTCTATACATCAGCTTCATAATGCTTTGTTCTCCAAATGGAATGTTGTCTCATTTTCAATTTCTTCTGCAATATTTTATGTATCTTAAGAGAACTCAGAAATCTGTTAAGAAGTTGTTTTTCTTCAATGATGACAAAATTTATTCAATGAAGATTAGCAATAGAAGGGAAATACTTAATCTTTTGAAACTGTCATCACTTAATATTGTATTGTAAGATTGATACTGTTTTTATGGTTGTAATTCATACATTTTGTTTGCTTTGTAATATGTATTGACTAAATGTACCACAGTTGTTCTGTCTACCACCTGCTGCTGAACACTTGGATTCATTCTGGTTTTTCTTAATATGAATAGTGATGCTATAAATATCCTTCATTCCCCCTGGGGCCAAGTTGTGTGTGTGTGTGTGTGTGTGTGTGTGTGCCCGCACTGGTGTGTGTGTGTTTATTCTCTTGTATATGTACAAGAATTTTTCTTGAGTGTTTACTGAGGCATGGAAATACTGGGGTACAAAATATGTAAGTGTTCACTTTTAGAGAAAAAAACAGCAAGATTTTTTAAAGTTTCTGCTCTCATCTGAAACATATAAAAGGACCTGTGTATCTATACTGGGTTTTATCAGAATTTAAAATATTTAGAATTTAGTAAAGGTAAAATGGTTTCTTTTTATAATCCTATTAGATATTATTTAACAATAAAAATATTCCTCCATTGGTGGCTTATAGAGTAATACAAAGTAATTAATTACAAAATGACATGTTCTTATTTTTAACTAATTTTTTCCTAACTCTTCTTTTACATCATTCCAGGAATGGCCGGGACTTTGATGGGCAATTATTACAGCCACTATGCTCTCTTCTAATATTCTGCCTCCCTAGGCAGAATGCCAAGGAATGAGATCATGTATTTACTATAAGCTTTCCAGTCATTCATCCTTTCTTACTCTAAAAAATTCACTTCATCCCAAGTGATTTTAAAAATATCTATGACATTTCCATTGACTACTTGGGTTTATAAAAGTTTTTATTTCATTAAACTATATAGAACTACATGAACACATTCAGAAATGCACAGTCATTAAATTGGAAAGTTGCATAGAGTAGACCCAAGTGATTAAGTATTTTTATTTATTTTTTATACTATTCTTTTTATTTTTAAAGATTTATTTATGCATACAATAACTGGGGTACAGGCCAGAGATGCAGGAGGCGATAGGATCCACCAGAGACAGAGTGGGGAACAGAGCAGGCAGACTGACTGAAATAATCTGCTGAGGGGAGCAGCAGGCGAGGCAGGAGAGGTCTGCTGCTCCATGTGGGTTTCTCGCTGGCCAGCTGGGTATCAAACTGGTGCTGCAGAGGCTGTGGATTGCTTCATAGTGCGGTGCTTAACCCACTGTGCCACCAGGGAGGCCCGATTAAGTATTTTTAATATTCATTCAGTTATATTTCTGAATTTTCATGTTCTTTTTCCATAAGACCTTAACTTATTCAATTTAAATATAAAGTCATGTCTAGGTGAGTTTCAGACCTCTGAAATAATGGGCTAATGAACATCTTTTAAAGTGGAAAACAACAAGAGTAAGAGAGAATCCTGCTGCAAATCTCCACAGTCAGCTAAAGCAAGGTAAATGTGATGATAATTCATAGTGTTTACTATCTCTTGTTAAGATACATGGAAATTCTAAAAGGAAAGGTAGGATAGTGGTAAAATGTGAGGTGGGTATATATAGCGCAGTCCTGAAACCTTCCAACCTAGCCCTTCTCCTTAACCTGAATTGGACTAATCCGGTACAGCAAAATGAATTTAAAGTGTGATGTGCATGATTTACAGAATGGCAACCTTTATTCTGATTATAGACATTTTGAAATGTCATGCACAGTTAAGGGGGCTTTGTTTAATGTCTTTACATGTTCCTGATTGCAAAATATTTGGTCATTGTGAGCAAAGATATGTGGATAATATATTTCCTAAAATGATGTAGCATTGTCTAAGTTGCTAATCAGAAAATCTTTTCATAGATTTTCTTTCCTTGCTTTCTCATCTTTAGCTCCCCACCCCAACCCCGGTTCCAATGAAGATGTAGTATTTACATTAAAACAAATCACCCATTGTAACTCTGACAAAATTGACTCACCCATCTTTTAAGTTTCAGGGATTTTTTTTTTTTTTACAGTAGACTATGTATCATAATGTAATCAATATGTTAATTTCTTAAGGCTATTGAACTCCAGTACAATAAAGGCGACTTTTACAATTCACTTCTTGTTGCTAATATTGGCACTTAATCTTAGGAGAAAATGATATTAAAATAGTTCAAAAATGAGATTACAAGTGGGATAGTTGTCCTCAAACCATAATAAGGTCATAATAAGCTTGAAATGATGAACTAGTGTATTATAAGGAAACCTAACAAAATAATAGTTAATAACTGTGACTTATTTTAAATGTAGGCTTAGAAATACAGTTCCTTTCCTGAATGAATCACTATAGGCCATTTCAAGGAGAAACAAATGGAAGGGAAAAATGAACTTTTAAGACAAGTGCTAATCTAAGAAGCTTAAGTGGTATCCTATTTAAGATACCAAAAAAGAACTAAATTCTTTGACCAACAATTAGCACATCTGACTCTGAATGAAGAGCTCAGAAAGAAATTGGCGCACTGGCCGCGGCTTAATAGTGCTGCCTCTGGTGGTGAAGGGAATGCTTAGTGTTCTCAAATGTGGTTTTCTGTTGGATTTTTTTGTTTGTTTGTTTTGTTTTCTTTTTTATCCCTGCCTCAACCCCGAGGAAGCCTGGAGCCGTCCACATATTCAAAGCAGGCCAAGTCCGCCGCTCCGGACAAAACACAATGGGCAGGCGTAGCCCCAAAGGAGGCTCCTTTCCTCCAGTTTTTCCGGCCAACTTTCCCCAGTGTCTTGGTATCTGAAGTGCTGAAACTCTCAAAGCAGGAAAGTGTTTTGGAATCTGAAGTGCCAAACTCCCTAAGCAGGGAAAACAAGACCCTTCAACCCAGTGGGGACTTTCTTTTTCTCCTGCTGCAAGCAGTGTTTGACCTTCTGGTGGGCTGAGTTCCCGGTGCCCTGGCGCCAGCTGTGTGACTGACCCCAGAACAAACCAGGCCAGCGCAGGGCCTGGCAGACCTCCGACACATTTCCTGTGGCGGCCTAAGGGACTCTGTTTGCTGCCAAGACCCAGGCAGGGATTCTTGGCGGTTTGGGGGCCTGGTGGGAGTGGGGCGGGAGTAGTGGGGGTGGGGGAGCCTGCAGTTAGGGGCGGTGACCTCACTCTGGGACAGCTGCGCGCCTTTGGGAGGGACAGATTGGAGTTGGGAGCAGCTGTGGGCGCGGGGCCTCCAAGATGAGGCCGGCACTTGCCCTGTGCCTCCTCTGCCAAGCGTTCTGGCCCCATCCCGGCCGCGGCGAACACCCCACCGCCGACCGTGCGGGCTGCTCGGCTTCGGGGGCCTGCTACAGCTTGCACCACTCTACCATCAAGCGGAAGGCGGCCGACGAGGCTTGCAACCTGCGCGGCGGGGCGCTCAGCACCGTGCGCGGGGGCGAGGAGCTCAGCACGGTTCTCGCGCTCCTGAGGGCCGGCCCAGGCCCGGGAGGGGGCTCCAAAGACCTTCTATTCTGGGTGGCTCTGGAGCGCAGACGTTCTTACTGCACCCTGGAGAACGAGCCCTTGCGGGGCTTCTCCTGGTTGTCCCCCGACGCCGACGAGGGGTCGGAAAGCAACACGCTGCAGTGGGTGGAGGAGCCCCAGCTGTCCTGCACCCTGCGGGGGTGCGCGGGACTCCAGGCCACCGGGGGAGTCGAGCCCGCAGGCTGGAAGGAGATGCGATGCCACCTGCGCGCCAACGGCTACCTGTGCAAGTACCAGTTTGAGGGCTTGTGCCCCGCGCCTCGCCCCGGGGCCGCCTCTAACTTGAGCTACCGCGCGCCCTTCCAGCTGCACAGCGCGGCGCTGGACTTCAGCCCCCCGGGGACCAAGGTGAGTGCCGTCTGCCCGGGACAGATCTCCATCACAGCCACTTGCATCGCGGACGAGGTCGGCGCGCACTGGGACCGGATTCCCTCCGGGGCGGTGCTCTGTCCCTGTCCCGGGAGGTACCTCCGTGCTGGCAAATGCGCAGAGCTCGCAGACTGCCTAGACGACTTGGGGGGCTTTGCCTGCGAGTGTGCTGCGGGCTTTGTGCTAGGGAAAGACAGACGTTCCTGTGTAACCAATGGGGAAGGACAGCCAACCTCTAAGGATGCCGAGGTGCCCTCCAGGCCCCCGCCCGCCGCTGCAGCCAGCCCCATGCCGGAGAGAACGTGGCCACCCAGGGTCCATGAGAAGCTAGGAGAGATCCCCCATGTCCTTGGACAAGACAGTTCAGCAACATCTATCCCCGAGATTCCTCTGTGGGGCACACAGAGCACGGTGTCTACCCTTCAAAAGTTCACTCAAGTCGAGTCAAAGGCCACTGTCACCTCTTCAGTGACTCCCCAATTTAATTCCACATCCTCCTCTGCCATTCCCCAGGCTTTTGACACCTCCTCCACCGTGGTCTTCATCCTTGTGAGCATAGCAGTAGTAGTATTGGTGATCTTGACCATGACGGTGCTGGGGCTTTTCAAACTCTGCTTCCACAAGAACCCTTCCTCCAGGCAGAGGAAGGGGCCTCTGGCCCAACCTGGCATGGAAAGTGGGGCCGAGGCCACTGCTCTGCATTCCAGTTCTGCACACAGCGCAGACAACGGGGTGAAGGCCGGGAACTTTGGTTTGGGGAACAGAGCAGACCCCTCACTGGCAGAGTCCTCTCCCAGCTCCATGGACACGTAGAGAAACAGGGGACAGTGAATATTTCTTGTGAGTGGAATTTTTCACTTTCAGTGAAAAGGGAAAAGGAAGAGAGGAAATTACTTGTGAAAAATGAGATTCCAACAGAAACTCCTCTTCCCGTAATCCACCTAGAAGCTAAATTTGAACTGGACACGCCTTTCCCGAAGATGGAGAGGTGGATGTGCCTTAGGGTGGCCCTGAGGGCTGATACTTTACCGAGGGGAATATTTTCCTGTGCTTGTTTTGGGGGATTTGGAAAAGTGATTGAACTTTTCAAGACGTTAGAAGCAAATAGAAAAAAGAATGCAATTATTTTATTTTATTTTTTACCAGAATGCAAAGGAAACCTTCAGTGTACATTGTTCAGGCTGAGAGTATATTGGTTTGAAATTTCTAGGCAACAAATAAAGGATTGTTGATAACCCAGACTCAAATATCATTGGTTTTCTGCAGGAGTAATTATTTAGGAGGGCAGCTGAAGGGTATGCTGGGAATACCCACAAGAGTGTCCCCTGCTTTTAGATTGAGGAGATCTTTAAATCCTTGTAATGAGGAGCAGATCTTTAACAACTAATAACGTTTCCCTTGGTTTTTTTTTAATGCGTTGCTTTCAAAGTCATTGCCGCTTGTGTACTTTGCTTATAAATCCAAAGTGTAATGTTGCCAGAGTTGTTGGCTCTAGAAGCAAATTATAGTTGACCACCAAGTCAAATGTTTACTGTGTGTCCTTGCTCAGGGAAACAAATAATTTGTGTTTACTCTTCCAACATTTGGCGTCTCCAGTGGAATGACCTCCCCAACCAAACACCCCTTTCCTACACATAAGGATGCTGATCCTCACTTCCATTAACAGTAGTGTTAATTTTCAATTAAAACGTTAATACTAAGTATTGATTTGAAATCTTCTGGGTATATTAAGTCAAAAGTAAGCTGGATGTTCTCCAAAATTGCTATATTCTTACACGCTGTTTAATCCATGGAAAAGGTTTAATTCCAAACCATTTCCTTCCCCCTACCCCCTTGAGTAGAGTGTATGCAGTGACTATACATGGCCATCTTAAAATGATTGCAATTTAACGAGAGTCTACATGGGCAAAGGCAGGGCGAACAGTTTTCCACAAGAATTAATAGTATAAGAAATAAGTGGTGAATACAAATATCTTGTTATGACTGGAGGTAATAGGCAGTCATCTAAATGAAGCATTCCTCTGGAAAACAATTAAGACATGAATCATTATGTCGTGAAATCAAGATCCCTAGAAAATATCCCTCTTTTCTTAGTATGCTAATGCTTTAAAACTAAGTGTGTGGGTATTGATACATAGAAAAAGAGAAAAGATTTTACTTCTCAAGAAGAATGAAGATTTTAACATATTTCCACAGAAACATTGTGATGTCCTTGAGTGTACAATGTATACTAGATGCACAGTATCTTATATGTGGTATCTTATATGTACATATATGTGGTACTGTAACATTAAAGGAATAAAGTAATAGGTAATTTACTTCATATATGAAATGCAGTTACATTTAAATGAAATAATAAATTAATGAGAATTTATGACCTTTGAAGGAATTTTAAATAATTTCACAAGTGAAACAGAAATTCAGGTAAGTAAATGACTTACCCTGTACCCAACTTGTCAGTTCGTCTTAGTTCTCTGCACTTGTATTTTATCTTCCCTCTTTATTACGTAACTGCTCAGTAAAGAAGGTAACTATTTGAATAGAATACATGGCACATACTTTTGTGACATAAAAAATAGCCTCATCTATAACTGAAAAGTGAATTATGGATGTATTCATATACTTATATCACTGTGTGTATGTCTACACACACATTTTGTTTTAAAGTAGGGCCTCTTGTATTATTGTTCCAATGTAATAGAGTATGCAGCATTAACTTATTATGCAATATAACATTGATGGCAATACAGATCCTGGGGTTCAAATACCCAATGTGTTGAATAAATAGGTGTCAGTTCAATTCCTCTACTATTATCCACTATTATTTCCCCTTGTAATTAGATCAGGAAAAAATTACAGAAAATTATTTTTCCATAGTTGATTTCTTGACAGAAAGCAGTTGCAGACAAAGAGTCTAATAATTCCCTTTGATTTCTGGTTATGATGTTTTCTATAAAATTCTGAGTCCATGGCAGAATCAGTGCTGCCAGGTGTGGTCTCCTAAGAGCCATCTGAAGTTAGGATCAGTGTCCTTCTCTGTATTACTCTATTTCACTCCTATTTATCCAACTTCTTTGTAGTTCATTCCTCTCTTACTTAAAACTATCTGTTCCTACATTCATTTCCTAAAGGACTTTTACTTATTTCCTTAGGAAGACTCGGAACTTAATTTACAGTCCTCTCTGTCTGATGTCCTGCCATTATCTCACACAATCTCAAACACTTCACAGTTGTCCCCCCAATGCCTGTGTCAGTTCCTTGACTTCCTTACTTCCAGTGCCCTACACTTGATTTCAGCCATTCACTCTCTAACAACCACACCTTAGCCTTTCAGATGTTTCTGAAGCTGTTCTCCCTCCACATCACAGATTCAGGTATTTGTTGAAGTGTGCATATGCATGAGCATGTTAAATCCTATACTTTAATGCAACTTGCCACAGATATGAGGCATTGTTGTTTGAACTTTCAGGTTCCTTCTTATAATAATCAGTAGTAGTATGGCATGGGATCATTCTTTTTCTTTCCTTTTTTTGAGAGCAATTCATATTTATATAAGTTTCAAATACAGTAAAGTGACATTTTTCCTGAATCATTTAAGAACAAATTATCATTCTAATGTGCCACCATCCCCAAATATTATAGTTACTACTTCTAAGCTACATGATTTGTTGGCATAAAATTATTTATGGTATTCCCATAAAATTCTTTTTTCATTTTCATAAGAATGATACACCCTCTCTTTCATTTCTAATTTTGTTAAAGAGTATTTCCTCCTTTGGAGATGAGGTCAATCTAACAAAGGGTCTTCCAATTTTGTTGAGGTTTTCTAAGAATCAACTTTTGGATTCAATTTTCCCTATTGCATTTCTATCTTCCTGGAAAGTCTGGAAATAATCTGGGAAGTCAGATTATTGACTTGAGATTTTCCATTTTTTAGTTTAGGTATTAGAGCTATACATTTCCCTCTAACTACTTTTAGTGAAATCCAACACCTTGAGATCTATTTTTCAGTGTGGGTATTAGAGCTATACATTTCCCTCTAACTACTTTTAGTGACATCCAATACTTTTGGATGTGTCTATTTAATAAAAAAAATGTTGCTTAATTTCTACACATTTGCAAACTCTCCTGAATTACTTGTATTTTTTAAAAATGTTTACATTGATTCCATTATGGTTAGAAAATATGTATGGTTTTAACTCTTATATTTATTGAGTCTTGTTTTATAGTCTATCCTGGAGTCTAGTATGTGGTCTAAAAAATGTTCCACAGGTACTTGAGAAAATTGTTGCCTGCTATTATTAATTAGTGTGCTGCAGAGATCTGGTGGAGCTAGTTTGTTTATGGTGTTGATCAAAGAGGGTAACTGAAGCCTGCAGTTTTTATTCTTGACTTATCTATTTCTACCTTCATTTCTGCTAGTTTTTAAAAATATATTTTGGAGCCCTGTTATTAGGTGCATGTGTATTTATACTATCTCTCCTGAGGTATGGGTTCTTTTGTAACTATAAACTGTTCCTATTTTTTGTTAACATCTTTTTGTTCAAAACTCTATTAAGCATGATATCTGCCTTATGTTTACTTTTGCTTGTTATATTTTTATATCCTTCAGCTTTCAACCATCTGTGTCTTTGAATCTAAAGTGACTCTTATAGAGAATGTATGCTCAAACTATTTTCTTTAATGCAATCTCCAATCTGACTTGTGATTGGATCTTTAGCACAACTAATTTTAATGTAATTACTGATGATGGTAGATTAACACCTACTATTTTCTTTTTTTTTTTTTTCCTACTCTTGGCATCTCTGTTGCATCTTTCTTTTTATTATTATTTTATTTTATATAATTCTTACATCATTTTTCATTTTTGCAAAATGTATGCATTTTCATTTTGGTTATATTCCCATACAATTCTCCCCCCTTGATTTTGACCCTATTCTTTCCTCTCCATCCCCCCCCCCTTCCAATAGTGTGTCTCTGGTGTACAATTGCTTGTTGATTTTGATTTTTTCTTTATTATAATTAGTCTTTTTCCTGGTCTACTATTTTCTATTTGCTTTATACATGCCATGCCTTTCTCATTATTACATTCCTCCACCACTGTTTTCTTTAGTAATGAACATTTTTATAGCATATTATGTTAATTCTGCTGATGTTTATTTTATTCTCATAAAGCTATTTTATAAGTTGTTGCCTAGAAGATTATTGGGTTGTTGGAAAAAATCATGACGCATTTTTTTTGAAAAACAAAATATGATTTTGATAATTTTTGCCACTTTCCTCATTGCCTTTATAAAAGAGTAGATTTTCAGGGAAACTTATTCTGCCTTCCCACCTCAAAATCCTTCCCATGTGTTGCGCTTCATCTTTTTCCATCTGGAAGAATTCTCTGTTTTTTCCTTGATGTCCATGAACTCAACACTTTTGAAATTTACAGGCCAGTTATTTTTATACAATGTTCCAAAGTTGGGGTTTGTTCCCTCATTCATATTACATATATTTGATTGGAATATTTACAGAAACGATGCATTTTCTTCCCTGCTTCCTAGCAATAGGAAGCACCTTCCATTAAGAGGTACCTGTCAGAATTCTCCAGTGTAAATTCTTCTGTTATTAACAAATTACAGAGACTATGTAAATATTCTGCTTCTCATAAAACATGCAATATTTCACTTATTTATATCTGTCGGGGTTTAAAGGATTTATATTTTATTCACTAAGTTCCTGTTATTGTAAATTTTGATATTTATCTTAGATTTACCGGTGTGATTCCCTCCATGTTTTCTCCTGTGTCCTTCTATCAAGACTACAACATTCTTTGACTATTTCTTTGCTTTCTGGTAAAAAAGATAGTCCAAGCCATTTTTTTTGCAGTGCCTACCTACTGAGGAAAAGGAAAAAATCATCAACACCAGTTAAAAATAAAATCTTGTTTTTGGTGAACAGTTGCCAAAATATTACTGATTAAATGAAATATGTCCAGTGTAGGTCAACTTTTTTTAGTTACCTGGGGATATATTAAGCAACTAATTCACATTGGAAGACACATGGTGGGGTTCTACTCCTCAATGTTAAACATTTTACAGGAAAATTACTGACATTTCTCCTGAGCCAAATTGACTCATTGTTAACTCCTCACTAGAAAATGATTAGACCAGAAAGAATGGCCTGTTTTTGCTGTACTTACAAGTATTTCAGATCACATTCCCCACTTATAAATGATCTTCGACTGAGCACACCATAAATAGCATGTGTACTTAATTCTAAATTATATATATACATATGCAATATGGTGATATTTTATGAATATTAGAAAACATACAATAAAGATGACAATTTTATTAAAATGTTTTCAGCAAAACAACATTTTTACTGTATTACTTTATTCATTATGATTTTAAAAGTTTAATTATAATTTCTTATCAGCTTTATTGAGGCAAAATTGGAGAAAAATGAATTACACATTTTAAAAATGCATTCTTTGACATGTTTGGCATATTATAAACCTTTGTAACCATCACCACAGTCTAGAAAGTGGACTAACTCATACCTAAATATTTGCTCATGCCTCTTAACAAATTAAAGTTTTGTTTTGTCACTAAATATTAGTTTATAATTTCTAGAATTCTATATAAATTTAATATAGAATTCTATATAAATAGAATTCTATATAAATTTAATAAAAACATAAGTATGTCTGTATTTCAGTATGGCTTCTTTGACTCAGCATGTTTCTGAGAGTCATTCATGTTCATTCCTTAATTTGTTATTATATGAATATACTACAAATTGTTATTCACATGCCTACAAGTATTTTTTTCAGTAAGAAATTTTTTTTTCAGTAGGAATAGTTCCAATAAAATTACTATGAATATTTATATACAAGTTTTTGTGTGGACATACACTTTCATTTCTTTTGAGTAGATTTCTAGGAAAGGAGTTTCTGGGTGACTTGATAACTTTTAAAGAAACTAGCAAACTATTTTCCAAATGAATGAACAATCTCACATTCCCACCAGCACTATATGAGAGTAGCATTTGCTCAAGATCCTTGCCAACAACTTGACAATCTGGATGGTTAAGTTTTGTAATTTTAGACGTTCTAGTAATGTGAATTAGTATCTCATTTTAGTTTTAATTTGCACTTACCTGAAGACTAATGATGTCAAGCATCTTTTCATGTGCTAATTTGCCATATTTTGTCTATTTTGGTGAACTGTCCAGGTGTTTTGACCATTTGTTTTATTGGGATGTTGGTTTTCTGTATTGTGTTTGAGTTCTTCATGTATTTTGGATAAAGGTCTTCCATAGCACATGTAATTATATTATTTTTGCCAGTCTGTAAGTTGACATTCTAATTCTCTTTAAAAAATTTTTAAAGAACATAAATTCTTAATTTTGCTGAAGTCTGTCATATCCCTAAGTACTTTTTATTTTCTCTCTCTTGGGGATTACTATCCATAACTGCCTTGTATTTAATGCCTTTGGACCATTGTTTCCTATATTTTATCCAATCTTTTCTCTATTTCTGATGGGAGGAGATTTCCCATTACTTCATCTTGACAGCCAGTGGAAGTTTGCTCCATTAGATTTTTAAAAACAACATAAGAAAACTTGTTAATAATCATGACTATTCTGTACAAGTTACTGTTCTTGGGACTTTACCTATTATAATTCATTTTGGCTTTACCACAGCTCTATGTGGTAAGTACCATAAAAATTACTATTTTACAGATGGGAAGCTATATAATATTTTGGCAGAAATTGCTAAAATGCTGATTCTAAAAATTATGATGCTGTTTTGGTGAGTTCC